AGCTGAGATGAACTGAGTGCAAAGGCTGGCTCTAGTCTGTGGCAAATGAAAAGTGAAATATGTTCATTGAAACCACTGAGTAAATTTATTTGATTAGGATGAAACCTGAGGAGAATCTGCTTATTTTTAGGGCACAGATGGAGAAAATATTTTTTATTTTGATGGACCTGTCTCGATTTCTTTTCAGCTCTTCAAAGTTCTGCTAATGCAGGGAGCCTTAAAAATTATATATATATATATGTATGTATATATATATATTTTAGTTCCATGATAGGAGGCATAAAGAAAATAAAGGAAAACTTATTTTTTAAAGAGAGTGTTTTCTCTTCCTGGCTGCATTAAAAAAATACTCCCACTACCAGGGAGTGTTAAAAATCTCCCAGAAAGCTAAACTGGTGAAAAGCAGCATGATTTTCTTGGCTTTGCTAGCGTTTGCATTCCTCCTGCTGTTTTTTGTCAAAGATATTCCTCTCTGAGGTGCAAAAGGAGAGATCATCTTGTTCTTACCCAGGTGGTGAACCAACACCTTTATTTTCTCCGCTCCCTGATGCATCTGAGATTGATGTGACATGGCATCACCTTTCTCCTACTGGCAGGGGAAACACAGAGTCTTTTTTTTACCACCAGTCAGTTATCCTTGACCTTGCCTGCAGTGAGAAGAGCATCTACGCTCTTAGATACTCATTGGGGTTAACCACTGAGACTGAAAACATGGGAGACAACTCAGTATAAAATATACCAGCTTCTTGACTCATATTTTGTACGGATGTCTAAAAGAAGGGTAATTTGAGATACAGAACTTAGATATCTTGGTGGTGCTCATGTTGAACCACAATAAGTTACACTGAGCATATCTGTAGTATTACGGCTACATGAACATCTGCCAGAAAAACATAAAGGTTTGCTTGCTGTGAACTGTTCCTCCATGGGGCAGTGATTGATCCAGGCTTCAGACAGTGACTTTTAGAGCAGTTAATTCCAAGAACAGCCTGCTGTAGTTGTGAAACACATATGTAAGTCATGCACTGGAAATGGTAGGGGTGGGTGAACAAATAAATAGCAAATAAGTAATTTTGAAATATATGTGGAAAAATCTTTCCAAGAAAAGCATGCTGACAATAAAAATAGAAAATTTTAAAAAAGAAAAAGAAAAGAAAAACTGAGAAAACTTGTAGTTGGAAGAAAGAAACCTAAATGAAAATTTAAAAAACTTCAAGTTCATCGCATGTACATGTTGGGGTTTCATTTGCTAATAATTGTATATATTAATTGTATATATTCGCTTTGAACTTCTGGCCGAAGCAGTTTTTTTTTCCTATGCACAGAATTGTGTTGTTGTAAAGTCAAATGCAAAGCAAGTCAGATGATAGACAAAGAGCCTGGTTTATGTCTCCCTCCATCACACTGGAGGAAAAGCCTGCAATTTCTGATTTCTGGGCTCATGCAATTAACTAATTAATGATCTTGTGTAGATAAAGACAAGAAATAAGATTTAAAATGTCTTGCCATGTCCTCTACTTCCTTAATTTCTTTGGCTTTCCTGAAAATGCTTTTTACATTCTCTTTTAGAAAAACAATGCTGCAGTGTCTCTTTTCATTCACTGTTCTGCTTATACATTGTTTTATTCATATAATGATCATAGTTCTCTTGCACTTTGTAAGGCTATTTGCATAGAGTCAAATCAAGAGAGGACTGTTTTATAATTACTGATACTGGTAAAAGAACCTGATCATCACAACCCATCATGGTTCTGCGTCTTTCATCCCAAGAATGAGGTTCTGTGTATTTTAAATAAAGTTTCATAGATTAATTCTCCTATTCAGTGTATAATAATTCCTTTCCTCTTAGTATTAGTGAGATCCCACTGGCAAATAGTAACATCTACTGGTCAAAACACTGTGAAAGAACCAATCTGTAGAAATCATGATTGATCAGTAGTTAACATAAAACAAAGCTAGTCTGACTGGCAAATTATAATAATTACCCAACTGCTTATCCCTGTGACTGGAAAATTCCATACTAAGTTTATCTTATTATAATATGAAAAAGGATTGTTTTAACTAGCATCCTTCATTAACTCCTGGCTTATGAACCTACAAAGTCTTATGTTGACAAAGAGAAAGCAGAACTAACAGCAAATTGCCATATAAGAACTAAAAAAATATTCCTAACTTTTCACATTTTTCAGAGCAGAAGAAAAACCTTGAAAGCTATTTTTAGGGAGTTCTCATAGCATGAATCCAATTTCAATTCTGTGATATCCCAAACACTTCATTTAACACTTGCACCATTGCTGGGTAAAATTAGCCTCTGTGTTAAATTTATTTTAAAAAATGAAATGTGCTGTTTGCAGAAATAGTGAATGCCTATTAGAAAAATACTAAAGCACGCTCTCTGGAGGGTAGACATCTTTTGATTGTAATACAGGAACAAAGACTTTTGTTCTTATGCAGTTTTATGCAGAAACATATCATGTTTTTAGCATTTCTAAGATGTTTTCAAATTAATTTGATCTGATATTTTGAAATAGTGTGCTGTGTTTTATCATGAAAAGACACAGGCGTACGTATTGTTCATTGTCTTTCATTGAACTCATTCAGGCAGTTCAGGAGATTTTCATAGCCCTGCAAATTAGCTTATGGCCAACATGAAAAATCTGTTTTGTAGCTGTGCCTCTTAGTTATTTAAAGCACTTTTTGTTACTTGTAAAAAGCAATATTTATTTTATTATTGATTTACTCAGGAAAGAGTTACTTCCCATGTAACATTATTGAAACCACCTAATTCCTCTGCACTCATATACTCTTGTTCATAATCAATTCAACATTTTATGGAAGCCTAAGCTTTAGCCTAATGTAAGAATACACATGTGGTTTTACTAGCAAATAGGCTAATATTTCTAGGAATAGTAACTAAGTATTAGATCTAACAAATACCGATTAAAATTGAGAGTTCAGATTGAATTTGCTTTTCTTTTGGTCTCTAGCAAAAAGGATAAGGCATGGAAAAACTGATAAAAAAGTTGTTTTGATTTTTCCTGATATCCTTCCTCTACTTTCACGCTTTTCACAACATATGTAGAAAGGTAAAGAAAAAGAAATGAAGTGTCAGTCTCAGTGATAAATTTTTCCATAAGGACCTTTCAGGGAGAGGTACCGTGTCTGCTGTCACCTACCAGACTTCTTGTGAAGGTTCAAACCGTGAGACTAGCTACGGTGGTGGGAACTTGGGGTGCTGTGCAGAGGTAGGGCTCTGAAAGTGTCCCTGTTTCAGGAAAACCATGGGCTGCACAGAATTTGATAAGGACTTGCTTTTCTTTCTGCTTATGCAGGTGGGAGATGGTAGAGGAAATCTCATGCCATTGAATTAGCAGCTTTTCATGGATTTTACTGTGTGCAAGAATAATTTCCTCCGATATTGGCAATTTTAGTTGTGATTTAATAGCATTGAAACAGGGTGTCGCATGTGCCTTCGTCTTCTACTATGCTGGTTAGATGGCCAAATTTTTGTTCTCTGCAATTCTTGTAATTCAGATGAATTCAGTAGTTCAGCTGACCATAGTTTAGATGAATGAGTTACAGGATATGCAGGTATATTTCCGTAGAGAACCTCTTCCATATCTTCAGAGCTTGAATTCCGAGATGGATTTCCATATCAGATAATGCCTTCCAAAGGATCAAGTCAGTGTGTAGAGCCACATTTGCTAAACTCTTTAGCAGATGAAAACAGATTTTAACAAGGCTCTGTAAAGTGGGAGAGAATCTTTTATTCTAGTTTGAAAGTTAGAATAAAGTATTGGCTTTAAGAAGAAGTGAGGGATTCACTGGATTCACTACTTTGTGTGATTATTTCTCATCTTTTTTTTTTCTTTCTTTCCTTAATTTCATGTTATAAGCAGGAATAAAATTTTTGGTCAAGAATTCTTACTTGGTTCTGGGCAGTTGTGGAATCCACCTGGCAGTACCAATTTGTGTGGTGCTATATTGCAGTTACTTTTATGCTAATAAAGAACAATATTGCATCTTAAAGTAATGGCAACTTCTTATTCAGATTATGAAACTGCTGTATTTCAGATCCCATATAGAGAACAAATGTATATATTTATGAATGTGTACATGTTCATTTAATTTCTTTTTCTCTCTTTTTTTTTTTTTAATACAAGACTGTCTCTACCATGTAGCATTTTGTTGGTAATATTTTCTATCAATCAGTAGAACAGAATATTATTGTAATGTAATTATAATATTATATGTATTATTGGTGTGGGAATTCAGCAAGAAGTAGGTATTTTTAAAAGAAGATTTTTATGAGCACGAATAGCATTTATTATGTAGTGTGTTAACATCAAAATGCATTCTTCTCCGTATTCATTAGGTGCATGTGTCAAGAGGAGAATGAACTCTTTGAAGTGTGTAGGGCTTGTTTGTGTTAGTTTTTATGTTACATTATCTTCGTTTCACAATAGATATTCTTACACAAAGGCTGTACTGTATTAAAACAGTCATATCTTCAGTCTTGAGTTTGTGGAAGCAGTCTGTGCCTTTGTGCTTTAAGAGAAGGGTAAGGAACAGGGTAAAGAAACAAACTCCACGAGTGGCCTGATCCAGTACATCTTTCTGGTCATTGCATCAGAAGAAGCTAGCTCTGCTTTACTGGTTATGCAATATTATATTTGGGGGATGGAGGGGTAGGAAATGAAAAGGTACCCTTGTAGAAGTGTTTACACCCTGGGTATTTACCTGAATGACTCTCTTGTCCTTATTCAGTGATCTATGAGTTCCTCTTGTGAGGATCACTGCATCTTTCACAATGTTTCTGGGTCTGTATAAAATGAGTTACATATAGTGTGTTTGTTCAGTAATGCCTTCACGTAGAAAGGCAGGGAAATGACCTTTAAAGAACAAAGTTAAGTATTAGTTTAGTACCAAAGGAAGGTATTAAAGAGTTGTGAGATACTTTCAAAACAAATTAGTAAAACACTTCTTTGATTTCTTTATAGATTCTGGACAACCAGGAAGTCCAAGCCACAATGATCCTGCCAAGAATCCACCAGGTAAATATAAGTTCCAGGGCATGTGCAATCTAACATTGTTTGAGAACAAAGATACTACTGTTAATAGTTAAAGAGAGCATAATTGGCCAGCAACCTATTTTGCACTGGTAGGTACATATAATCAGGACAAGCTGTCGTTATTTTAGCTCTTTTGAACTGGCAGTGCCTCTATTGTAATTTCATCAGGATTCATTTAATCTAAGGAATTTTTGCCTTTTTTTTTTTTAATTTGTAGGCAGTGATGGACAGAGGAATAAGGAAATTATCCCAAACTTTCGTAAAAATCTGCAAGTGCTACAATTATTCATTTATCTGGGGCAATACAAAATGACTCTCCTTTTAAAGTCTTTGACCTAAGTTATCAGATTTTTCTTGCCTTTAGTTTTATTTTATTTATGCATTTTAAAATGTAGAAAAAAGGTCTTTTTTGATAGAATCTATCAACTCACAGAAGAACAGAACACGTTGTTAGTGGGTCATGCTAATGGCATATTTGTTTGTTTTTCTTTTTTTTCTTTTTGTTTTTTCTTTTTCTAAATGCTAAATGGATCACACTCTACCCAAGAAGTAATTGTCTGATGCTGGGCTTCTAAACATACATTTTTCTTGTTCTGTTAGAACGTTGGGAAAACAGCCTGTTGGGAAAACAGTCTATCTGTGTGCAGATGGGGTCAAAGTCATTCTATAAGTGTCACGGACTATGCCATGTGTGTCCAATGTAAATACCCCAGAATGAGAGAACTACTATAGCTTATTACAAAATAATAATTAAAAAAACCCACACTGCCTCTCTAATACGAAAACCAGAAATGAGCACAGGAAGATTGCAGCTATGTTTCAGAGATATAAAAGCAGAACAGCTTCATATGTGTCAAACTTCAGTTATTTTCTAATGTGTTTTTTTTGCAAGGGATGATGTAGGTTTATATTAGTTTGAAATCATTTTTGATGGGAGATTTTGGTGCTCCTTCTCTCCAAACTGTGTGGGATATAGGCTTTTATTTCTCTGTTAAATATATGACGTAAATTATGTAGCTTTGTGGTTTAAAAATCCCAAAGAAACCCCCACAGCAAATTTACACCTAAAACAAGCCTGAAAAATTTCCTCACAGATAATCATGGTTTTGCAAAACTTGGAGTATTGAGCTCTACAGGACTTATTTTTGTTTTAAAATATCTCTGTTTGGAAGTGCAAGAAAAAAAAGGCAAATGCATCACACCTCATTAGTCTGAGAAATCTAGTCTGTAGCCTCTGGGCTTGAGAAGCTAAATGCAGGGTCTGGGAGCCTCATCTTCACCTTTTTCAAATGTTTTTTTCCATTTCAGAAGTATGATTTAATGTTTAGGTTAGGGAAGCAGAGGTACATATTTCACCACTGAGGATCATATCCTCACTGGGTGTGTTTTTTTTTATCCGTCAGTCTCAACTCTAGGTTATTCCAGAAAGGAGTAAACTTGATGACAGCAACAGAGCCATGGGGTGGGCAACAGACAAACCCTACAGGCTTCCTTTTGCCAGCCCCATGTGAGATCAGATGCCCCATGATGTCTCATGATCTCTAGTGTCCCAGGAGGTAGAGGGGAGAAAAATCTGCTGCTGGTTTCATCATTAAACTTTCTGCTTGAAATTTGATCGTAACACTTTCTCATGCCTTGGAGCCACTGCTGGCAGTGTCATTCCTTTTGTCTGATGCCAAGTGGGGACAGAAAATGGAAGCTGTGCCTTGAAACCCCTCATTTGAGCAGAGACAGGCGCGTAATTGAATGTCATCCGTCTATTTGAGGATACATGAACTGCTAGCATCGTTCAGCCTCCCAGTGCGAGGCTGTCTTGGGGTTAAAGTAGGAAGAAAGCAGTGAGGTTTGTGGGACCGCACAAGAGCGGGGAGGGAGTCACACTCATTTAAGTCCTTCCAAGGCGAAGGACTGTTGCCCAAGCCTTTCCCATTAAGTTTAACATGGGTGTTGTTCTTAGAAGCAGTCTGTCAAAGCCCCAGAGAATTCTCACTCTGAGGTTTGTTTTCTGTCCCGGGCCAGGAACCAAAGGGCTGGCAGTGCCAGCATGGTCTGCTCCTGCATTGTGTTTTGATCTGAGCTCTCGTGTATTGAGGAGCCAGGGCACTGGCAAGGGATCGGTGCTGTTAGCATTTGGATGCTGCTACCTTCGCAGCAGTGTTGCCAAGAAAAAAGGAGGCTAAGACCTGAGTGGTAGTTGGCGAGGTGGCTGGTGTTAAAAGCGTTGTTGTGTTTTTTTTTTTTTTTTTTTTTTTTCTAGGTTTGGCTAGACTGTTGAATTCTTTAGGGTGTCTGCTAATTTGCTGTCTTAACCATGGAGGGAGGGTAATGTCACTTGCCAAACAAAAGAACATTAAGTGCACATGCTGGAATCCTTTACAAGAAGTTCCTAAAAATACACTGGATATTTTGATAGCATAATACAGTATTAAGATGGTGTAGCTTGTGGTGGGAGTGGTATGTAGCTTTTGTAGCAAGATCCATGGATATCCTCCTCTTAAGTTTTATTTTTCAAAAACTTTCATCTGGTATATTGCTAAAGTATGAAATGTGCTTTTTCTGTGATCTGGGTTGTAAAGGCCACTTTCTCTGTAGGAGTTGTTAAGTAGGCTCCAGACAGATTGATGAACCGTATACAAGTGGGAGAGGGGGAAAGGAGTTTTAAGGCTACTGTTGTCCAGATCAGCCATTAACCTCCTGGAATCTAAAAGTTTATGCAATGATAAAACTGCACTGGCTATTAAAAGTTTTCTTAGGTTCAAAGAGAAAATGGGCAAGTCTGTAGAAAAGAAAGAATTTGATTGTGGGTTGTTAAATAGGTGGAAAGCACAACTTGATTAATAAATTCTTAAACTGGAAATAATTGGGAGTCTACGATAATAATGCCTGAAAAGAATCCTTGTTGTCCATTCATTTTATTACTCCTCTATACTATAGAAATCTACTTAGTGCTACTGTTGGAAGCAGAATATTGAGGGAGGTGCACCCAGGAAGGCAATTTCAATACTATTCTGTATTATTTACTCCTTCTGTGTCACATTTTGGTCCTATGTATGTCCAGTGTGTGACCTTAGGAAGATCTAGGACATTAGCCTTCTTTAATAATGGTATGTCTTGAAATCCATATTTGTGTGGATGTGTACTGGAGAGTGTGATTTTTCAACAATTCTGTCTACCAAATATAAGAAAAAGACCATAGTGAATAAAAAGAGAAAAACATAAAAAGAGAAAAGCATACAAAAAGAGAAAAAAATACAAAACTATTAAGAGGATAATACTATCCACATCCCCCATAACAGCTCAGTCTTCAGTAATACATTCCTACTAGCAAGCTCTTTTGGTAAAGGATTTTCTGAGTTCTGTTCTGCTTCATTTTTCTTTCCTTGCTGCCTGTTGGCCATACCTTTTTTGCACTTGTAAGATTACTTGCTACCTGTCTTCGGTATGAGACTGCTGCTTGGCAGAGTCGCTTCATTTGTACATTAGCGTTAACAGTGCCGTGTGTAGTTGTTAAGCGTGCTTAAATCTCTAAAGACAGTGTTTTTCAAGTTGCTGAAATAGGAGTAAGCAATACTCAGGGAAATTGTTCTTGCTAAATGTTATTTTGATAGGACTATAAGATAGAATAGACAGTTGTATACAGTTCGAGTGCCCAAGACAACTGGAAACATGAGGGAACGGGCACCACTACTACGTGCTTCGCATGCTTACTTCTGGCTAGGAGAGGAAGGACGCTCTTCCCTTGTTGTAGTCCCTTCAGGATTTCATGTCCTGCCTAGCATGGGGAAGGCAAAAGATGACTTTTCAAAAAAGTACAAGGGAAACCCAGTTGTCCTGGCACAGGTTTAGGAACCTCTGAGGCCAGAGAAACCAGTCATGTTCAGCTTCTGGCTCTTGTTTTAAGCAGCTAAGTTTGGTGGTTATTTGGACTACGTTTCCTAGCCAGTGGGGCCTGGTTGTTTTTTTTCCATTTCCTGGTGGAGCTTACTCCACTTTATCTGGCTCAAGGAATATTTTCATACATGTATACAAATTGGGCAGACGATAAAACCTCAGTTAGGGCTGATTGAAGAAAGAAAATTTTGGTACAAGTCTGTGTGCTGTTTAGTATTATTTTTTTATACGGGCAACACATTATTAGACTTAAATTGAGAACTTGTGTCTCCACTTGTGTGTCTTCCCCCCTGTTTTCTCCTTTTCTTTTTTCTTTTTTTTTTTTCTTTTTTCTTCCCCATTAAAAAACATGAAGTGATTGGGAGATTCATCTAAGTATGATATACTTGGTCTGAATCAGACATGGTTAGTTTAATCCACAGCCCCACTTGCTTCCCAGGAGTTGATCTTTCCCTTACATTTTCAACAGAAATTTTATTCTGAGAAGCTTTTTCTAAAGAAGAACTAAGTGAAATCACCATCTATTCTTTTTTTTTTTCCCCTAATTAAAAAAGGTATTGCCAAAAACCTTACAGCCAGCCTCACCTATCTCTCAATATGCAAATCTTCCTTGCAGCTGTAGAGCCCCAAAGGCTTTTCTAAGCTTTAATATGGGCCAGCAGCCATGGGGAGAACATTCCTTTGGATCAAGCCCCAAGAAATGTGTCATAAATTTGCCTATATGCTGGTTCTAGAAAGAAGTACTTTGGTTTTTTGTTTTAGAATGCACGCTTTCAGAAATAATCCCTCAAGAGCAACATGTGGTCTCAACCTTTGCACTCTTTTAAAAATGCAATAAGCAAATGTCTTCAAGTTTTGAGTGACTCAGAACACAGATGGTTTCGTTGTTTTAGTGTATTATAAGCTACCCTCTTGTGGATGGAGAATTAGCCCCATAATTAATAGGAACAGAGGAGAAACTCCCTGTCCTCATCACTGTAAGCAGCTTTTCTTCTGGAAGCAAAGGTGCCATAGCAGAATGGAGAGACAGGCAGAACTGTATTTAAGCAAATACATATTCTGAGCCTTGCTCTTTCAGCATGGGAGTGGAT